GAGGTTGTGGAATTGATGGGGGCCGACGGATTTGGGCGGAGATGGGCAGCGGGGGTTGGGTAGTCGACGACTTCAGATTATGGTCGGGGTGAGGTGGGGGTGCAGTCAGGGAAGAAGATGAAGATTGACTTTTTTCTTTTTTTTTTTTTCTTTTTTTAGTTTAATTTAATTGTTAATAATATAGAAAAATAATGTTAATTCTAAATATACCATTTTACCCTTTCTAATTCAGTCAAAATTGGTCAAAATTCAATTTTATTGGTCAAATGGACGGTTTCCATCCATCTGAACTTCGGCTGCATATTTATGAAAGGTTTGGGACATTCGCTGGCACAAAATGAAGGTTTGGACAAAGTCTGCTAATAAACGAAAGGTTTGGTACCTTGGCTGCAATTTTCCCTTTTTTTTACACTATTACCTTTACCTTCATATTTCATGTGAAAACTATCATTTTCATCAAATTTCTCGTATGAAATGACAAATTTACTACCTATTAAAATAAAAAATAAAAACTAAAAGAAAAGTTAAAGAATAAATTTCAATCATACTCCCAAACTTTTTAAAAAAATACAAATGAGCCCAAATAAATTATTAAAAAGGTAATTAGCACAAAATATCTATACCTTTCATTAATAATGTGTAAAACATCCCTACCTTTCATTTTTTGAAATTTTCACCCTTATTTCATATTTCATTACGAAAATCGTTATTTTCATCCAATTTTTTCAATTAAAAACTGTAAAATAACAAACATATACTTGTATTTAAATAAACAAAAATAAAAAATAAAGAACAAATTGAAACTATATTTTCAAAATTTTCAAAAAAGTACAAATAAATTTCAAATAAATAATTAAAAAATAAAGTAATTTTTATTTTTTAATTATTTATATAAAATTTATTTTTATTTTTTTGAAAAATTTAGGTATATAGTTGCAATTTGTTCTTTATTTTTATTTATTTAAAGAGGAGGGTATATTTATCATTTTACAGCTTTTAATTGAGAAAATGGATGAAAATAATGATTTTTGCAATAAAATATAAAAATAAGGGTGAAAATGTCAAAAATGAAAGTAAGTACGTTTGTGCTAATTACCCTTTTAATAATTTATTTGGACACATTTGCACTTTTTTTAAAAGTTTATGAGTATGATTGCAATTTATTCTTTAACTTTTCTTTTCTCTTTTATTGTTTTATATCAATAGGGGGTATATTTGTCATTTTACATAAGAGATTTGATGAAAATCATAATTTTTCCAATAAAAGGTCAATGTAAGGGTAAAAATATCAAAAAATGAAAGGTAAGGATGTTTTGCACAATAATATCGAAAGGTAATAATATTTTGTGCTAATTACCCATTAAAGTGGAGTGATTAACGCACTAATTGGGGATTAGATTAATTAGTTAACCGATTTTAACAAAATCAGTTATACTACATTTTCTCAGTATTTTGTGTAAGAAGATGAAGTAAGGTGGGGTGAAAAATAAAGTTTAAAGATTTGAGATTGTAGATAGGGGCTGTAAATGAATCAAATCTATCCATATTCAATTCGATCCAATAAGAATAATTATCCTATCAGATAATCCAATGGATATTTGATTGTTAAATTCACATCTGATTAAGAGGACGTTTGTGAGTGATTTTGAGAATTAATTTTTTGACCGTTAGAAGAAAAGTGGGGTCCACCCGTGAAAGAAGAAGTCAAATATGATTCTGAAATAGTGAAATAACGGTCAAAAAATCAATTTTTTGGATGAAAAAATTGGGCCCAAACAGGCCCTAAGTATGTTATCGGATATCCAATTCGACAACCCAAACCAAAATTCAAAAAAAAAAAAAAAAAGGAAGATAAAAAGTTTAGTGGAAATTACACAAAACCCTACATTAAAAATCCACATTTCTAAAAGCAGGCCAATGTTTTAACATTTCAAAAATCAGATTTCTTTCAATCTATTAATATTCCAAATCCTAATCTAATTTGAATTTCATTTTCTCTCTCTTCGTGCCCATGTCTTCTCTCTCAAAATCGCCGGTAACGGAGGATGGAAGAGCTTATTCTCTCTCTTCGTTTCCCATGTCTTCTCTCTCAAAACCGCCGGCGATGGAGGATAGAGGAGCTGCTCCTGCCCGCGCTGCTGGAATGAAGGCTAACGAGTGTTACTGCAGCGTCGCGACGATGCTGTTCGTCGACGCTGCCATTTGCAACAGAGTCGCGATCGCTACTGCAGCATCTATGTGTGCGTGGGTGTGGTGTGTGCACGGCGACGGTGGCATGAGGTGCAATGGTTGTTGTAGTTGGTTTTTCTTTTGGTTGTTGGATGCGTTGCAGGCGATGGCGGCGTGGTGGATAGTGATGGTGGTTTTGGATCTATTTTGCGATGGAGTCGTCAAGATCTGGGATCTGCTGCAACGACGAAATCGACGGTGATCTGGAGATGAATTCGAATTGGGTGGTTGCGGTGGCAGCATGGTTGTAACAGTGGCTGTGGTATGATTTTGGTGATGTTTGGGTGGTGTAGTTGTGATGTTGGCAGTGGTGGTGGAGATATTGGCATTGGTGGCGGATCTCGGCGGATTTGGTGTTTATGTGGTGGCGGTGGTCGGGGTGGGATGGGATTGAATGCTTGTGATCAATTATTTGGTTGACTGTGATTAATAATTGGATATGTGACCTAAAAATTGTGACTGTGACCCCTAATTATGACTTACAATTGATTAAGGCATGATTAAAAAATTAATCGTGACCTGAAAATTGTGACTGTGACCCCTAATTGTGACTTACAATTGATTAAGGCGTGATCAAAAAATTAATCGTGACCTGAAAATTGTGATTGTGACTAGCTATTGATTAAATTGTGATAGAAAAATTAATTGTGACCAATTAATCCAATAATTTGTAACGAGTAAATGAGTTGTAATTAATAAAATTTTGAATCCGTGACCTATAAAATTTTTGAAGTTATGATCGAAAAATATTTTGTGACCTATAAAATTTTCGATTTGTGACCGAAAAATAAATTACGACCAATAATTTGATAATTTGTGATTAAAATTAATCCATTACTGATTTATTAGATAAATGTGACAAAAAATTGTGACCTAAATTTATTTAATTAATAAAGTATATATTTAACAAATTAATTTATAAATAAATTTTAAAAAATCTGATTTTTGAAACTTTAAACTATTTTTCTTAATTTTGAAAAGAGGTATACTTACCCTCTTAGAAATGAATTTTTCCCAAATTTTTATATTAGTCAACTTCTAAACCCTATAATTAATAAGCCTAAATAAATTTTTAATCAATTCTTGGCCCACCTATTTCTAGATTGAAAATCTTATGATATTTTAGTAAGTATTCGATGTGGGAAGTGGGGAGTTGGGAACATTGAAATCAACTCCAACCGTGTTTAATTTATAAATTAAATTAGTTATTTTTTTAATCTTATTTTAATTAATAAAAAATTTAAAACTCTTCAAATACTTCAATTAACAATATTGTACTATTATATAATATTATTTATTGTTTGAAAATTATGTGTAAAGTATAACAAGTTTCAAAATGAAAAAAAGAAGAAGTTATGTTTAATAAATTATGCGATAATATATAAAATATATTATATTATTATAACAAATCGGATCAGATTGACCTAAATCTATATTTGCTTCATTTAGTTAATAGATTATTGAATTTGAATCTTGATCAGGTTATTTGACTAAGACTATAAATTTATTTTCCATCAATTTCATTGGATTCGGATCAAAATACAATCCATTGACAACCTAATTGTAGGTGGCACATATATAAAAAAAATGGATTTAATTTGCAACGAATAAAAAGTTTGTTTACTGAAATTACAATTATTCCTCTTTTAATTTTGACATTTTTTTACTGTTTTTAATGAAAAATCTGATGGATCTTTTTGACGGGGATTTTTCGCACAAAATGTTTCCAACATGAGGTTTCTATGACTTTTAATAGATAGGGGTACATTGCACGTGGAATCATTTTTAGAAAGATTTTTTGCCATTAATCCATTTTTTACAATTGTCGTAATTGCCATAAATATTGTTATCACTTAACATGATCTATAATTCGTGTGAGTCACAACACTTCTTATCGCTTGTCTACTTGCACCTTCCATGTTTAGATTGCTTTGCTCATTGCCTTAATAGAACACTATATATTTCCCATGGCTGTATTTACACAAATTTTTCTTCAAGTCAATTTTCGAAACATGTCCAAGATGAAAGTCAAAATTTATTTTAAGTTTTAAATTCGAAATATGTTTAATGTGCAATTTTTACTTAATTATAGGCAAAAAAAGAAAAAAGAAAAAAAAAAAGAAAAGAAAAAAGTTATTTTAATGCTAGGGTTGATGTCTTATATTTAAATTGGTTATAGGGTCGTGCTATAATTACATGAATTTTATACAGATTGTTCGACAAATAAAAAATAAGAAGACAAAACAATGTTTTCTCTATCAAGCAAATTACACAAGTAGAAAAATTGATAATTATATCAACCCTGATCCTTGGCCCGGGTTGGGGACAAGGTCAGGGATAGGGGCGCCACGTCTTCAACTCTGCCCCGGATTCGGGACAGGGGCTTTATTCTAATTATATAGACCAATAAAATTTATTTATTTTATAAGTCAATTTCAAGCTTAGCCACGTGATCCACGTTGGGCGTATCCACCAATATTTGATTTATACTTTAAATATGGGGCATTCTTAGGAATTATTAATTCTTTTTTACTTATATTTAAAAATAAAGATTTAAATAAAATTTTCTGACTTTTAGCCCTGTTCTCCCAGAAATGCTAAAGGGACAAGGGCAATGGACAAAGGTTTGTGGACAGGCCGAGGTGGCGCGATCTCGGCCCTTGATCTGAATTTTAAAAATGCAGATGGCTTATTTTTTACTGGCTTCTGTCACTAAAATAATAATGGAAAATTCTGTGTGTGCAGAATTTCTGATGCTTCGTCAATAATAATTGTTCACAAATAATGGCTTTCAAATTTTCTCGAACTGTACAGGGTGCAGCCCCCTCATGTGAGGTAAATTCTTCACCACGAATCACATGATCATTGTTTGAGGTTTGAAGTCCAAGTTCTGTAATAGCTGGGAGAAGTTTTCCAGTCCTCAAGATCTCAAATTGAGGGATGATTAAACTTGTAAGATTTCTGAACTGTATACCTGAGACAGTTCAGATAAAAATTATTCAAATTTTGAAAGAAATACAAATAAAATTTCATGGAATATTATTTGATATCAGCAGTTACGAGATTCTCCATCTACTTTGCCAAGCACCTCCTCGTTGTTCTCTACAATTTTCTTCCAAAACCAGTGTTCTTTCCAGATCCTATCCATTTGTTCAATTGGCAAATTCTTTGTCTCTGGTAATAACAAGACAACAAATGCTGTCATTATTGCTACCCAGCCTCCAAAGAAGAAGAAAATCCCTGACTTGAAATGGCAAAGCATTGATAAAAATGTTTGGCCAACCACGAAAGTGAAGAGAAAGTTTATGCCCACTGAGATACTTTGTCCGGCCGATCTTATTTCCAAGGGAAAAATTTCACTGGGAATTAACCATCCTAATGGACCCCATGAAATTCCAAAACCAGCAACATAAATGCAGATCAACACCAGAATCAAAAAAGCGTAACTTTTGTTTAGTCCATCATGATCCCCTAACTTTGCTGCCATAATTCCTCCCACAGTCAATTGAGAGACAAACATTTGAATTCCTCCCATTATTAACAGAAATCTTCGGCCAACTTTGTCGACTATCAGCATTGATATGAATGTTGTTCCTATACCTACAACCCCAGTTACGACTGCAGACAAGAGAGAGGCACTAATGCCTAAACCAATTGTTCGGAAGAGTATTGGTGCATAGAATGCAATCACATTGATTCCAGTTACTTGTTGAAAGAAGGGTATTGCTATAGACATGACAAACTGAGGCCTGTATTTTCTTTGTATGATATTCTTATAAGGGTTTTTTGTGGTTTTCGAAACATCATTAGCTTTGATGAGATCGTCTAGCTCTGCTTGGACATCATCCGTGCCTCGAACTCTTTGCAACATCTTTTTAGCCTTTTCATGATTGCTGCTACGTTGAATTAGACTGTTTGGTGTTTCAGGGAGAAAGAGTGCACCTAAAGTTAAAATTGATGCTGGAAATGCAGCCATAGCCAACGATATTCTCCATCCCGAACCACCTTTAATCTTTTCGGTTCCATAGTTTATCAAGTTTGCAGCTAAGGCCCCAATACCTACACTGAACTGAAAGCTGTTGTTGATTGCTCCTCTGCATTTGGGAGGTGCCATTTCTGAGAGATATAAAGGAACTGCCTGCAAACAGACAGAGTTAGCTGACTCATTTGCTGGACAGACTTGGAAAACACAGGCAATTCGAAATTGAAAGGCATTTTCAAAGATGAGAAACTACAACGACAATAACAAACTAAGCCTTCCTCCTAATAAAATTGGGATCGACTGCAAAAATCATTTTCCGTTACTCTGTTAGATTCATTGATTAGATCTACACGAAAATCTAAAGCAATTAAATGTTCAGCAAGTACTACAAGTTAGTTGGCTTTATTCAAACCCCTTTCCTTTTTTCCTTTTTAACATGTTCTACGGAGTACGCATTAACTGCTTTCAGAACAAAAGGAGAAAGCTATACTTGTCATCTCCCATTCTTGTTTCACCTTTCAATCTAAGCCTAATTATGTTGGGTGAGCATGTCAACCAAGAAAGGAGGCTATGTGGTACCTGGTTTGAAAAACCAACACCGACTCCAAGCAGGACTCTGCCAAAAATCAGCATGTATATGTTGACAGCTGCACCACCTAGTGCTGCACCAGCAAGAAATGCAGCTCCTCCAGCAAGGATTGATGGTTTCCGCCCATAGGCTGCAGTGACCAATGAAGCAAAGAAGGAAGCAATTAGACCAGCTATATAGAGCGAGGATGTGAATAATGTCAGTAGCTGGCTATCAAATTTGCAGTAGTTGCTAATCTCTGTGTCTTCTTTCATCCTAGTGTAGACTTCTGGGAAAAACTTTTTCAGGAATGGCTCCATAGAAGTTACTCCACCTAAAATTTACCACAAAATATTTAACGACAGTGTTCTCTCACTATGTGTACTACAATGAAATTAGAGAAAATGTAACCTTCAGTACCACGTAAACTTCTCCTCTTGTTTACATATAGAAACAATTTTCGTGCAGGAGTACCTCAGGGCTAATAAATCCCAACAAATTTTTGAGTATGATGGACGAGCAAGTAGCAAATTTTGTTTTTTTGTTTTTTTGTTTTTTTTCAAATTCCAAGCATAGATGTAGTTATTCCTGCATTTGATTATATCTTCTCAAAAAGAAAAAGAAAAAGAAAACTGAAGTAAATGAAACCTGAAATTCCAATATCATAGCCAAAGATAACACCTCCCATGGAAGCCATCATGCAAGACAACGCCACAAATAAAGTAATCCTGCCATTATATTGCCCATCTGTACTGGTTATCACAAATCCTAACGCCATAGCTTCTTCCAAACTTTCCTACACAGATAAATCTAGCAGGGTGCAGACTCGTGAATATAGGAAAGGTTGGGGTCGAGTGGAGTGGAGTGGAGTGGAGGGAGTTTGAAGTTGTTAGCGAGAGGAAGAAGAAAGCTGGCAATTTGGAATAGTCCAACTTGGCTGCTAGAAATCAACTTCTCCTGGTCCACTGTGAGACGTAGTCATATTTGATTGGAATCTCGTGACCTATGGACTTCACTATCTGACAAGATATATAAATCAGACTTCGCTTTGCAATTATTTGTGCACAAGTTATCTTTATCAAAAGTTCCTTTTTATAATATTTTTTATGCTATAACATACGAGCAACAGTTTACATGGGATTGAGCCCAGTTTGGTCCCAATTAAATTCAATTTCATTTTTCTCTCTTTTATTTTCAATCATACAATCTTCCATAAAATAATATTACAAGCAAATTGAAATTTTTTCCTTCTTTTTCAATCACTTATTTAAAAAAAAAAAAAAACACTATTCTATTCATTTTCATTTCAAAAAATGGGGGCCAAACGGGAGCTAAAACAAAACGCAGCAAATGTAATGATAATACACCACCAAACCTTTGAAGATGATGCATGAGTGAGCAGTAATGTATTTTAAAATCTCAACTATATATGTAGTTACTCCTTCATTAGACTATCTCAAGGAGGAATAGAAAACTGAAGTAAATGAAACCTGTAATTCCATTATCATAGCCAAAAAGATCCCCTCCCATGGAAGCCATCAAACAAGACAACACCACAAATGAGGTAATCTTGCCACTATATTGCCCTTCTGAACCGGTAATTGCAAATCCAACTGCCATAGCTTCTTCCAAACTCCACAGACACAAATATAGGCTATATAGCAAGGTGCAGGCTCTTGGGGATGGGGGGACTTTGAAGTTTTTGGTGAGAGGAAGAAGAAAAATGGTAATTGCCAAGCTGGTCCAATGTTAGAAATCTAGGATTTATTGTAATAAGTGATTGGGATCTCATCATCAGTGGACTTCACTATCTGACAAGAATGATATTTACATATAAAAGCAAAAAGTATGACTGTCCTCATATAGGGTACTATGACGACCTCAAGTCAAAGGATTAATCCCACTACCGAACGTTAGAGATTAGCCACTGACACTCAGATAGTTATCCATGTGGAATCTCTTAGCGGGTCTCCAATGTTTTGTTCTACAACAAAACATCCACATGTTCATTTAAGTGTCACCACACTTTAGCTCGTGAGATCAGCTACTTACTTCACAAGTAAGAAATGCCACACGTGATGGTCTAACTGTATTAACGATATCCGTATCTCGTTATTACTTACGACCATGGTTTATTCAAGATCCAATTATATGTAATTTGTATCTCACAATCACAACTCCTTGTGATTAACAGATTACCTAAAAATTGGGTCTTCGGATTCTATTATTTAATATTATTTATCACAAAATCAATTTAAATAAATAATAGATCTCGCCAAAATCAAATGCATTAAATATATTAAAAGCGTTTACAACCTAAATCGATTGGATCTAGGGCATAACACTTACAATAGCTTCTTCCAAACTCCACAGACACAAATATAGGCTATATAGCAAGGTGCAGGCTCTTGGGGATGGGGGGACTTTGAAGTTTTTGGTGAGAGGAAGAAGAAAAATGGTAATTGCCAAGCTGGTCCAATGTTAGAAATCTAGGATTTATTGTAATAAGTGATTGGGATCTCATCATCAGTGGACTTCACTATCTGACAAGAATGATATTTACATATAAAAGCAAAATTTCATGTTGATATTTTTTCTGCACAAGATCACTTTTTTTTCCCCCTCATTTTCAAGATTTTTTTATGCTAGAAATGAACAAGCAATAGTTGACAATTACTAATTTTTTACAAGCATTACAATTTAGTGAATTTAGAACATTGTATAACGTATATGCAGGAACAAAGCAATGCATTGTTAATCAATGAGGCTTTTAACAAATGCAATTTCACACAAAGTTCATCAGCAGAATATCACGGACAAAATAATAGGAATTCACTTAATTGAGATGCAGTAGTGAAAATCACTTGACTTATACGGAATGTTTTAATCTAACCTCAAAATCCAAAAAATACACTCCATTTCTTCCTCATGATTTCAACCATTTGTAAGAACAAAAACGATATTCATTTGATCCAAACAAAGCCCATTTGCAGCAAAGCCAGTAGAAACGCAGTCGAAGCTCTTCAGAATCCAAGCTGAAAACTCACCCCTCAACTGTTCTGAAGTCCATGAATTTGAGAGCAGCCCGTATTTTCTTCAACTAGCATAGAATTAAGAAAAGTGCGCGCACAATTTCTAAACTTGTATAGTGTCATTGCGTGAGTTGTGTTGTACTTACAAAAGTAGGTTGACAAAATAATATCCTCAACAATCATTTCAAAAACAGGATTTTAAAATATTTGAAATCAATGATCTGAATTTTGCCTACATATCTTTTGTCAACGGAACTTTGTACAACTAGAATTATTGCCTCTGCTTTGACTTGAAAGAAGAAGATTTATAAATACTTAAAAAAAATTTAAAAAGGGGTCAATTTTGACTTATAATATTTTAAAAAAATAAAAAGTTAAAATTAAAAACATGGTTACTTTTTAAATTTTATTTTGCACAATTGAACTAGTTCATTTGTTGGAACAACCTACGTATTATTTGCATTGAAAGAGACTGATTTCATCTTATCCCTCATGGATTTTTGTCGCATTAGCAAGATTCAAACCCTTGATCTTTTCCTTGAAAATGATTTAAGTTAAATCCTAGAAACCATATGGGTCATTATGTATTTGACTTAGGACATCTCCAACCCTTGCACCATTTCATCATTTTTCATCATTTTGCACCAAAAATTTGGTGAAATCCTTCTCCAACCTAATATCATAATTAATGTTCCTTTTGTTCCTCTTTTTCACATTGAACCAAATTTTTGTTAAGAGCATATGTGTCATTTTTTGTTACACAACAAATTTTAATTCTTAATTAATTATTATAATAATTGTTATTATTTTTTAATAATAATAATTATTATTATTATTTTTTGTATTACATTTTTAAATTTATTCATGAATTCAATATTTTCATTAACGAAACGTAATTATTTGTTTAATAATTTATGTAGTAGTAAATTAAATAAATGAAAATTTTCTTTTAGATATATGAATAGTTAAATATAAAAAAATGAAGAAAATAATTAATATTGTTTATTTGATGCAACTTTTGGTGTAATGAGTTGGAAATGATTTTTTGTTTGTTACAAGATTTGGTGCAAAGCTTACTTCAAATTTTGGTGTAGGATTGGAGATGGTCTTAAAATGTAAGTTTATGGTCCGATGGGAGCTCCCGGAGACAAATGAAATACTTGGGTAGGCAGAAGGAGAGTGGTGGTAATTGTATTAGTAATCATACTCATAACTCATCCAATTTTATGAATTGAGTTTGTGACAATGATAAAGAAATAGCTGTAGGAGAACAAGTAGAAGAGGAATTAAATGCTGCTAATGGTGATAATAAAGAAACTGTGAAAGAAGAGATGGAGGAAAATGAAGAAGAAAATGTAGATGATCTAGAAGATGATGAAGAAGAAGATTATATTGATGAAACTGAAAATTATTGAAGAGAAAGGAATATACATTCAGAAATAGAAACATTAAAAAGGGAAGAAAGGAAAAGTTGATATCAAGAAGCAAAATCCAAAAGCAGAAGAAAAATCCCTCTAAGAAAAGTAAATGTAAAAACAGATTCAGGAAAGTACTTATTCTCAGAAATCCCAAAGATCGTTGGTCCCCTGAAAGGTAAGAATTGTATTGATACCATTTAGTTTGTTTTGTGATTGATTCTTTTAACTGAATGAAGGTAAAAGCTTGTTAAGAATAATCTTTTTGAAGTGATGAAGGCGAAGGGGAAAATGGCTGACAAGCCTATAATGTAGATACAACTGAGGGTGGAAGCACGGAAGAAGATAGGAGATACTGGGCTACTAGTTCACCTTTTGAAGCATATGTTGGGTGTATTAATTTGTCACGTGGGTCTACATATATAATTAATAATGTTTAAGACCAACTTAAAGTTGAGCCCAATTAAAATGGTCTAATAAATAAGTGAAAATTACATGGCAACATGTGTTTAAATTTTATAATTCATATATTAGGTATGAAGTTTATTTGTTCAAATATCATGTATTAATTTAATTATAAAATCACCCGCACCACCCACTAAACCCTAATTATTATTATTTTCTTCTCTTTCTACATTCTCTCTGTTTTCTCTTTACACTATCTCGTTTTTCTGTTCTTTCTCTTATACACCATCGAATCACTATTGGCGACGACGTCTTGCCGACGGTGACTACAACATGACAGCAAAGTTCGTATGGATATCTGAGTTCGCACAGCATGACAAGACCTAGCCATTTGTCATCATTTTTCGAAGATCACGTTGTGCCTTCGACGCTCAGTTCGCACTACAATATGAGTGTTGTAGTGATGATCTGAAAGGGGTGGTTTGATTATGGAGGTAGTGACGACGATTGTGGTGGTGCAGTGGTTGGTTTCTATGGGTATGTATTTTTGTTGAGATTTGATAGTCCCAATATGTGGAAATTTGGTCACAAACTGGTGTTGAATATTTGGATTGAGTTTTATTAGCTGTGTGCAGTTTCACCTACTTCGACAAGTTTCTGTAATGAAGAAGTGAATTTGTCGTGGTAGCTGTAATGAAGAGGCAAATTTGAAAATTTCAATGGTGTCTTGTGTGGCAGTGGTGGTGGCGTATTTTTGGTGGCAATTGGCATTTGGGTGGGGTTTGGATGGTTCTTTGTGTGGTGGTGGTGGTGGTGTTTGTGTGGTGGAGGTTTTGTGGTGGTGGCTATAGGAGTTGTTGAATTTGGTGGTGGTGATGTAATTTTTCGACATGTTTTGTTGCGTTTTTGAGGTGGTGGTGGCGAATTTGTGGATTCTTTGGTGGGGGTAAATGTGGTGGTTAGGTGTGGTGTAAATGGAGATAAAGAAAATGGTGGTGGTGTGTTGTGGGCAGTGATGCTCATGTTGGTGAGGTGATGGTAGTTCTGGAGGCGGTGGTGCCCAACTATTGTTGTGTTGTTGTTGATGACGGTGGTGGTAGTTGTTACGGTGGTGATGATTGTAATACCCCGAACTTCACGTTCTACATTTGGCCAATATGATTCATGCATTCCATGCTAATTACATTGTCATTTGTATCAATTTCCTGATTGCCTTCTCTTAAAACGATGCATTTGATCATCAAGGCTTTAAAATCTTTACATGGTGATAACCTTCGACTCTTCGATCTAGGTGGTGAATTTTATATTGAGCTATGATAGAAAGTTAGATTAACTAAATGTTGGAGATTGGCTTGGTAAGTAATGTAATATTTGAAAGGCCGAAAATTTGTATCAACGAAGGTTCAAGCTTTCCATTCGACTAATCGAGGTCACCTTAAACCCTAGATAGGTAATTCACATATTTGGGACATGAGGGATGAAGTGACATTATCACAACGAAATAATATATGTCTTATATGACATTATAAATATTGAGGTGCGAATTGTTGAAATCGGTTAGAATCGGGTAAGAAATTAAATGAACAGTTGAGGAATTAGATCTATAAAACTTTGGGATCTTAATGCAAGTGAAATAGATTGTAAGCACATCAAAATAAACCAATGACACTTGATTTATACCTGCAAGGATAGATGTAAAATCAGAATTTAATCAAATGAGACAACACCTACTTAACATGTGACGACTTGCCACTTTAACCTCTAATTCCTTCAACCTTAAGCCTCCAACACGTCCTATAAGTCCTTAGAACTTTACACAAGATATTTATAACTCTTCTAAGTCACATATGGCTCCATGTGGTGCAAGGGAGAAGTCAAAGTTGGCTGCAAGAAGCCACATCCTACTTGGACAGCTCATGCTAGGGGACTTTTCACTTTAATATATCATTGCTTCAACTTTAAGGTATAAATTTCGTGTCTAATCCCCAAGGACTTAATATAGGATGAATATATATATTAAATATCATAAATGGACACAAAAATAATGGTAGAAAAGTCAAGTATTGCAGCCAAGATGACAGCTCCTGCTTAGTGACTCACCTTGATTGCTTGAGGTGGCTGCAGCCCATGATATTCTTAATCCTTAAGTAATATGCACGACTTCAACCATTTAAAGACCACTCATTTACCTCCTAGATAATATATTAACTCCCTTAACTCGTCCCTAAGTGATTCCAAGTGAAAAGAGGGTGAAACAGTCAAAGAGAAATAGAAACAAGAAGTTGGAATTTCTGAACAGCTTTGTTACTCCACAGTTTTGAGGTTTGTTTCTATTATTTCTTAAGGAGTTTATGATTTCTTGAACATCTGAACTTGTTTGTGATTAAGTTGGAGTATTGTTTGATTTATACCTTGATTTTGGGATGATACTTAGTGTTTAACTTATATATATCAATATGAACGTTTTTATACGTAAGTAGGGAGTGTAGAAATGATTTTAATGGCCTAGAATTCTGTTGGTATCATAATAATAAAATGGAAACCGATAACAGTCAAAGGGAAAAACTGCCTGATTTTGTGTAGTGGAAAATGGATTGGCCTAGAATTCTGTTGGTATCATAATAATAAAATGGAAACCGATAACAGTCAAAGGGAAAAACTGCCTGATTTTGTGTAGTGGAAAATGGATTGTTTTTGAAGCTCCAAACACTTCATTTGTAACAATGTTATGATCTGATTATCTTCAAATATATGTTATAGGTGTGTGGTAAAAGTTTGGGAACC